CAAAGTGGCTGTGGAACCACTCGCCTGCGGCTCGTGGTTCCGCAGTAAACTTTGACAATGTTATGACGAAATTTATCATCAATAAGAGGGCAGACGCATTAAAAAACTGACGTCAATTTATTTTTTACAATAACAAGACCCCAAAATGGTCAAACGCCGGGAATAAATGAGGAGAAATAACGCCGTAAACTTGCTATAAACAAAGATAAGTGAATTTTATTCAAAATGACGCGAACATTGTCGATAGCTTTTCTCGCTTTTCCATTGGCTATTTGAAAAGTCATAAAATCCCATTGGTTTAAAAGTTGACAGTTTGACAGCTGAGAGTTGAACTTGAAAGCTTGCATAAATTAAAGTTGTACCCGTCTGTATTCTTATTGATGACAATAATGAGCCAATCAGCGCGCGAGAAATTAGACAGTTATTGTAAAAATATCTTTTTAAACGATGTGTTGTTAGCTGATCAGTATCAACAGCATTACCTCTAGGCGGGCGTTGCTCTTACAAAGTATCTGTCTTATATTAATGACAATTTAAATGTTATGTAAATTTACTTTTGAGAAGACAAGTTTTGGCCAAAACCCAACGTTTTTCAATAATTCAAAATCGTTTAACTGAATTGTTACGCTTCACTGAGATGAAAACTTAATTACTTGATGCCCAACTCAAATAAAACAAATCGTAAAGAAAAACTTCTACATCACCGTTCAATCCATCGCGCCCGTCTTTTCCTGAGTAAACAAAAAATGTAATGTTGTTATTTAGCAGTGGCTTATACCTGGATAATACTAAATTATTATGATTACGACCGTGAGACATTATGGGAAAGAAATCGACCGGCCAACTGTGTTTATTATTAGAAACTTACCGTTTTGTCCATCTTTTCCGTCTTTGCCTGTAAAATTGAATAAAAGTCTGCGGTCAAATTGAACCAACATCAATCAAAAATGCGAATACCTTTGCTTATTAAACTGTTCCATTTTTGGTAATTTATCAATGACGTTTTACTCACCATCCTTGCCACAGACAACCTGAGGCGCAACTGCGCAGAGGTTTTGTTTAGCTTCGGTCCCATTAGTCTGTCATAATTAATAAGAAAACATTTTGTAAACTTATGTATCTTCGTTAAAAGATATTTTCAAACACGCTGGCACGTTTTGGGTCTCCAGACACTGAACAACGACAAATCACAAAAAATTAAATTGAAGCATGAAGCGTCTCAAATTGTCCTTACTGATAAAAAATAGACACATAACAGCAAAACAACATTAAAGTTAACCTCGTTAGGGGACTTTTTCTGCGATATTGCGAAAGAACTCAAGAAAAAGGCGAGAGCGAGCACGAAGAAGAATCGAAACATTTTCATTCAAACTCCTCTGAGACAAACTGAAACGACTTGGTCAGCATAAAATAAGAACCCTTTCAGAATTTGTATACATTATATTAGAACGCGAAAATTCGAGATGATGCCCTTTGTTTATTGTGGTTTGTTCAATGAGATAGTAAACAAAGCGACGCTATTTCTCAACGATTACGTATTTATAAGAGAAACCTGACTTTTACAGATAGAACATCGAAGTTCTGACAGAATGACTGAATAAATGTTAGTCTGAGTGAGAGTGATTGGATTGAGTTGTAAACAAACTTGTCCTTACGGAAAATTTATTTGACTGGTGGTGATATAATCATTTATTGAATGGAACAGTCTGTCAATCAAGTCAAGCTTTTGATGAGCTTGAGCTTTTTTTCTTTCTGTACATTTGCGACATCATTCCACTCCTGTTAAAAACAACAAATCGGTCAACGTCAAGTTATTCTCTAGCTAGAGTATCTATGTTACAGGTACATAGCATCAGATCTGAATACCGAAAGGTTCATGACACGCACTATTGAATAGAAACTGTATTTATTCGTCTAGAGACGGAAATGATTACGTATACAAGAAATCGAAATTATTAACTAAATAAGTATTTCCTTATAGCGCTCAATCTGAAAAAAAAAAACATTAATTAAAAAACACAAACAACTTTGGGGCTGGTAATGAGATAATAAACAAAATAAATAAACAGAGCGATTCCTCCCATAGTTATATCGGCTACGATTGATGCAGGGTTATGGTTATGGCAGCAACGTTTGGCCTCGAGCATTTTTTATCGTTCAGTGACTCACTTGACGACCCAAAACAAAAGAGACTACAATTATCAGAGGAGTCCCCAGCTCCTTACGGCAGCGTCGTTGTATCAGTTGCGAACAACTAGTACAGGGAAAGAAATACAATGAAAGTGTCCTTGGTTCCTCTATGTATCTCTTGTATGTTTCTGTCGAGTTTTAGCGGGGTTTAGCTCCATTGTCTCCCTCTTAAAGGAGCTCAGTCACGACATTTCGAGTTATTTTGGCCACGTTTAAAATTACCTTTTAATTGAATAGTTTACTAAGATAAAAGAACACCAAAGAGATAAAACGAATAAACTATGAAGGAACAAGAATTGTTAGAGATGGAGAAGATTAACACGGATTTCAAACAACGAACTTGAATATTTTTAGACTGCGCCGGCATTCTGATAGGCTTAAAAAGAAATGTAGCTTTCTTGTAAATATAAGCAGTGGCGAATCTAGGGG